GACCTGCTGGGCTCCGGTGATCCTTCCGCCTCAGCCTTCCAAGTAGCTGGAACGACAGGCGCATGCTACCACGCCCTGCTAATTTTTTTATTTATTGTAGAGATGAGGTCTTGCCAAGTTGCCCAGGCGGGTCTCGAACCCGCGGGCTCAGGCAATCCACTCACCTCAGCCTCCCAAAGGCATGAGATTATAGGCTGAGCCACTGCACCTGGCTGAATTTGTTTCTGATCTTGGAATTAGACAGTGTATTTATTTTGAGTCAGGGTCTCACTCTGGCCCCTAGGCTGGAGTACAGTGGCATGATCACAGCTCACAGTGGCCTCAACCTCCTGGGCTCAGGCAGTCCTTCTGCCCCAGCCTCCCGAGTTGCTAGGATTACGGGTGCATGCCACAATGCCTGGCTAATTTTTTTTTATTTCTTGTAGAGATAAGGTAAAACTATGTTACCTAGACTGGTCTTGAACTCCTGGGCTCAAGCAATCCTCTCACCTTGGCCTCCCAAAGTGCGAGGATTACATACGTAAGCCACCATGCTCAGCCTGAATTTCTTAAATAAGACTCTAAAAGCACTGATGCTGGGACTGAGATGAATCCAGGTAGACGGCTATTCTGAATGGGATGTTGAAGCCTCCATCGTAGGGGAGAAAGACTTGGTCACAGATAAACACAAAGCTATGTGTATGTGCTGAGATGGTAATTCCCATGTATTATGCCCCCTTTGAAGCCAGCATTTGTGGCTGGTTCATCCCTGTGGCCTCTACCCCCTGCCCCACCTGCCCCAGCACCTAACACATGCCTGGTACAAAAGAGGTGGCAATAAATGTTTGCTGGATGAGTGAATGACTTTGTCCAGGCCCCTCATTTCCAGATGAGAAAAAAAAACAGACCCAAAGAGAATTAAGAACCTGCCTAATTCACCCAGTAAGACAGCCAAAGATCCCAAATCTTACTTCACCATCTTGGGAGCAGAAAGCTAGGGAACACTGACCTTTGACAGGCCCCATGTGGCTCAGGTACTCGCAGTGACTGCTCCACTGGTCCAGGGTGGTGAGGATGTGACTGGGGTCACCGGGCAGAGCGTGTGTGAGCACATAGCTGAAGGCCCGCTCCTCAATCCGCAGCCCTGACAGGCAGTCTCGGAGGCTCCGCAACAAGATTGTGCGCACTAGCAGTCGGAAGTAGTGCCGGTACCGCACCAGCAGTGTCACCACCAGTGGCAGGAAGGCCAGCGCAATGGCAGGGGACATGGTCCTGATCTGGACCCTGAGGTGAGGGAGGCAGGGAGGGAAACCCACACCCACCATTTGCCTATCATTTGTACGGCCCTTACCAGTAGCAATTGTTATGCTTATATTTTACAACCCATGGTTCAGGCATGCTGTCTTTTGTACAGTCACACAACAGAACTGAGATTTAAATCCAGGTAGGTAAGATTCCAAACCGATGCACTTTCAAGGACTCCATATGGCCTATGTTTATCACCCAACCCCAAAACCCCTCTTTCCATTCCTCCCCATTCTATCTTCATTTGGCTCCCTCCACTTGTTTCTCCTCATCCTTGAAGTCACCCCTTCTTCAGATCTCCATTCACCAGCTCCCCTCTGGGATATCCCCCCTCCTGCTCCCCATATCTGTTTGGTCTCCTCTGACCCATTGCTGTGTAGCAAAAGAGCATAGTTTTGTAGTCAGAAACCCCTTCACTGTCAGTGTGCATCAGTAGAAGGTAGTCAAAACATTCCATGGGGTGTTAGGGTGAGATGTCCTATTTCTCACCCAGGATACTCCCTCTGTCTACTCTTCCCTGCAAATGAGAAGAGTTCTTGATTCTGTAATAATTCTCCAGTCCTGTCTCCCCTCCCCTGTATTCCTCTCTATACTGTGCTTTGTCTGAATTCCCTTCACAAGTGTATACATACACACAACACACAACACACACTTTTCTCCCACTCAGCCCTCCTCTCCAGGGCCTTCTATGGAGATGGGTCTCCTCTCCTCTCCCATGTCCAGGACCATCCTCCCCCTCCTCCAGATCTGACCTCCTTGCAGTACTTCTCGCAAGGTCCCTAATGATGGTGGGGACTAAAAATGAAAAAGGGGATGTATGAATGGGAATGGATAAGTGAGTGATGTGGTGGGCTTGAACTGGTGTGCTTGGGAACCCACACTCCAGGGCCCTGCTTACCTGGGCTGGAGGCTCCTGCTTAGGGAAGACTGGAGCACAGGGCAGGAGGGGGAGTCCTTGGGGTGGGAGAAGGTGGAAGGCTGGACTTGCTTTCCATTATTGATGCTGAGGCCGCTGCTGTCACCTGAGACCTGCAGTTCAAGTTACCAGTCCCAGGGACAAGCTGGAGATGCCTCCTACACTTAGGAGCCCATAAAAAAACATACACAACTCCAGGGTCTTGATTTGAGGGGTAATAATAACTAGTAGGTCTGGTGACCTCTCCTACAACCCTTTGGATCAGGAGATAGGGTATGGTATGAGCCAAGGTGATGGAGAGACTATAATTTACTCACAAACTCAAAATTCAAGTTTTCTCTAAGTGTCAGGGCTTGGGTCACAGAGAATAGTCAAAACCTGTCCCTGTCCTCCATGAACTCCAATTTGGTAGAAGAGACTCACCCAGGAAGAGAGAATACAATATAGTGTGATTATTGTTGGATGCTCCATGAGTACATGACTTTGGCTGTTTTGTAAACTGCTGCATATCCCAGATATAACAGTCTATGGTACACAGTAGACATTCAATAAGTATTTGTTGATCCAATAAATGAATCAACACTGGATTAAGGATTAAGCACAGGGATCTGCAAATGCCCAGAGAATGGGGTCAGAAAAGGCAGTATAAATTGTTTGTACTGAGTCTTTTTTTTTTGAGTTGGAGTCTCGCTCTGTCACCCAGACTGGAGGGCAGTGGCCGCTCCC